CCGCAATGACAGATTTAGTTCTTTAGCTTTCCCAGTTCCCTAGGATGTCTGAGTCCAGCCATGTTATTTTTGGATAAAACTTGCTTTCTTCATAGCACTGACTCCCAGGTCACTGTCCTGGGTTGGCCTTTCTGTTTCATGGATAACCTAGTTACCCTTCCTTGTTGATTCCCCAGAATTTTCCTCTTTGCTTGGTCAATCTCTTTCATCTCCTCAAATTCTTAGACACATATGAGCTCTTCCTAATATGACTAAGACAAGAATTGTCCTGAAGGGCTGCCAAACCATTTATCTCCTCTCTACACTCACAGAGAGCCAGTACCCAGTAACACAACCCCTGGCTACTACTTCTTCCTGGGAAAATATCTGTTGGATGTAAAGTTTGCATTTCAGCTGACCTACTTACTGCCATGAGACCTTGAGCGAATTACTGACCATCTCTGTGCCTGCTTCCTCATTCAATAAATAGAGGTGACATCAATCACATATTTATTAAAACAATTCAATGAAAGTGCACACAAAAAAGCTTAGGGATCTTCCTACCACATAAATAAACATCCAGTGTCAGCCATTACTGTTGCTATATTTGCTATTAAATATATTACTATGTTTACTATTTACTATTAAAATCAGTGATAATCTTATTTGCTGGTATGTTCAGATACTTGGTAAAGTGTCTGGTATGAATAAACACTCAATAATCTCGAGTGGATGAGTAAATGGTCTTTTAGGCTAATTATTCCAAAGATTTTTAATCTAGAGAGATGACTTACATGTTGATAACCATGCTTAAAACACAAACAGCTAATGCTATGATTTCAGCATCTTTGGGGGAGGGCAATTTCCAATCAACAGTTCTTCCTACTTCCCTTCATTTTGAGGCTGATAGTTCCCAGTAACATGGCTAGCCCTGATGTCCTGATCAGTAGCTCATTGTTCTTTTCCCTGGGGCTGAATCTCCTCCTTAACCGTAACAAAAGCAATAAAATGTTTGAGAGAACCAACAAAGTGATAAAGGATACAAGGGAAACTGCTTTCTCTGGAAACCATATTTCTTGCTTTAGAGAAAGTATTTCCTGGGTCCTACCTGGGGCCCTAGTCATCACAATCTTTGGAAATACTTGAAGCTCTAAAGCCACACAGGCTTGTCCACTATTGGATAGGGAGACTGAACACTGCAGGGAGCTGAACTGAGCCCAGGCACAATGAGGATCCTTCTAGACCCAAGTGCTAGACTCTCATGGGGAGAGCTTTGCTCTCTTCCACACCTCATTAGAGAGCTCTGGTAATGGAGGGTGGAAATACTTTATTCAAACATTGCTGGACAGTTGGGATATGAATTTGCTATGAATGATCAAGACAGAATCTCAATAGAAAGCCAAGTCACTCAGTTCCAGCTCAGACAGAAGAGGGAAAGGAAGACCTGAGAGCTGTTGTAGCCCTCACTGGTCCCACCCACGCTGCTGACCACAGAGATAATCCCGGTGCTTCTTATAGCACACAAGTAGCTAGGTGGGGTTTTAATCCTCCCCCTTTCTTTCTTTTGGCATCCTTTGAAAATATATCCTTTATTTTCACATGGTTCAATCAAATGTCACCAATTCCCTGAGTAAACTGGAGTTATCTTATGTAAAGATACACATCCATTCTCTATTGCTGACATGGAGAGAAAGCTTGCTTTATACACTGTTAGACGCCTTCTTTTTCACTTAATATATTTTAGTGTTTGTTCTATTTCAGAATACATGTACTTACACTATTGCTTTAGTGGATACCTTAGATTGTGTTACAAAAAACAGTTTATTTAACAAGCTTACTTACATTGTTTCTAATAATTAGCTTTCACAAATAAAGCCATAATGAATAACCTGTGAGTAAGTAGCTGCAGGTTGTATGTGAGTGCATCACAAAATGACTCTCTACAAGAAGAATGTCTTTCCACTGGAAACTTTAATAACTATTGAAAAACTATGTCTCCAAGGTAACCCCGCCTCACTTTTTATAATTGATAAAACTGAAATTCCAAGAGGGCAAGTGACTTGACTGGTCATGCAGACCCTAAATAAAACAACTGGAGTTGACGTAGTAGTTCACACCTATAATCCCAGCACTCCGGAACCTGACCCAGGGAGATTGCCGTGAGTTCAAGAACAACCTGCCTACAGAGTGAGTCCCTATCTCTAACAAAGCAAAACAAACAAACAAAATCCAAAACACAACTGGTATAAGAATTAGTGCTTCTGTTGATCTTTGTTTTGTTTTAAACAACATCTTACTATGTATCTCTGTCTGGACTAGAATGTAGACCAGGATGGTTTCAAATTCACAGAGATCCACCTGCCTCTGCCTCCCAAGTACTGCTATTAAAGGTCTACACCACCATGCCTAGCTAGAATCAATGGGTTTGTTTGTTTGTTTGTTTAATACTTTTTAAGCAATGGGCTCAAAACAGTCGGGGACATCCAAGAAACATGTAGATTTCTGGATTATAAGAAAATCTATGGCTTCACATACAATGTTTTTCAATGTGGATTGAGTTTTGGAAAAAACATATTCCCTACATAAAAATAAACCTATAGTCTGGAAGGTGAGAGAGACAAGAAAGGAAGCAATTTCTTCTTAATGCGGTGTAATTTGAATGAGAGATGAGGTACAATGACAGTCTGGGAGGGGTACCTAGTCAGCAGAGGCTCCTGAAAGAAGAGGGATTTAAGTGTCATTAGATAATCTGAAAATGCCCTTTGTAATATTACTTATGGGTTCCCCCTCACTACTTCCCATTCCAAAAAGTTCTTCATAGGTAGCAAAATGAATTGCTCAATGTAAGCACATCACAGCTAGGTGGTGGTGGTGGTGGTGGTGGTGGTATGACAAGCATGGTATACTAAGTTCCCACTGTGCACCACACACTGTGTTTTCTGGGTCTGTAATTGACTAGCAGTGTCACTGCAGGAGGATAACACCACCAGTGGGTGCATTGGTGTCCACAACTAAAATAAGAAGGTTGATCAGATTACTGAAGCTCCTCACCAATTTCACAGGCACAACTCTGTGTTGTGAAATATTATTTTAAGATGTGTTACATTCATTTATGCTATGGAATATTTGTTTAATGATGAAAAAGTTATGTTGCATTCTTTTATGCTGCATTTGTTTAATTCTGTGAAGCTGTGTTACTTTGACTTTCTAAAACACCTGATTGGTCTAATAAAGAGCTGAATGGCCAATAGCGAGGCAGCAGAGGGATAGGTGGGGCTTCCAGGCAGAGAGAACAGATAGAACGAGTAAGAGAGAAGAGGGGGGGAGTGAGAAAAAAGGAGGAGGAAAGGAGGACTCCAGGCGCCAGCCACACAGCCACACAGTCAGCAACAGAGGAAGAAGTAAAGAAAGATAGATAGAATAGAGAAAGGCAAAAGGTAGATGGGATAATTTAAGTTAAGAAAAGCTGGCTAAAAATAGGCAAGTTAAGGCCAGGCATTCATAAGAAAGAATAAGTCTCTGTGTATTTATTTGGGAGCTGGGTAGTGGGCCTCCAAAAGAGCAAAGAGTAAAAAACAAAGCAAAACAACAACAACAAAAGACCGCACAGCTCTGTCCCTCTATCTCTTTCTGATGTCACAGAGGTGATGAAGTACAAGGGGTTGTTAGGATTGGAGCCTCAGGAAAAAGGAACAAGGGCTAGATGATCCTTCAGCTAGTAAGTCAGCCTTAGGAAATTCCATTTAGAGACATGCTGGTGTGTCACATAAATAATAGTGACAAAGCTTTGTAGTTCTATTTTTCCAAAGGGACTGAGTGTGTTATTTCATGTTTTCCTCATAGTAATGAAGGGAAGGAGGAAGTTAGGGAGTTTCTAGTCTCTTCTGGTGGTGAAGGAACTGAGGCAGATCCAACATAGGCTTCTAGCTTAAGATCCATGGTGAAGCGTGGACGAGATCCAAGACCACAGCCCTGATATCTGATGTTTTACATAGAAGACATCATTCTAGCTGGGACTAATCGGAAGTCCCCATGACCTTCAGAAGCCCGCACTTAGATGGCCTCTGTGTTCCACCCCACCTCCTTCACCAGCAGAGTAATAAGCCTCTCTCTTGGTGCTGGAACCAGATCTTTATTTCCATAGAACGAATCTAGTGGTGGTTTTGGTGACTCAGAGCCAATCGATCTGACTGCAGAGCCTGCTCTGGCTTTTGGCGAAGCTGCGGTAGGACATTGCCCTGATTCAGTGAGCATGCTGGATTGCCTAGGTTACCCTCCTTACCTCTTGTCTCGTCTTAGCCTGGACCTGCCTTGTTCTTCTGAGCCCTTCCTTTCTGAGGACTGTCCTGCTCTAAACCTCTCCTTCCTGAGCCATTGTGCTCTGTTTGTTTCTAGGCCCCCTTTTCTCTGTTCTGCTTAACATCTAGATCGCTTCTGTTGGACCTCCTTGATGACAGCCACAAGTGGGGATGGCTGTCTAGCTCCTGTGGTGTGATCCCAAAGCCATGTGCCCTTGGGGCTGCTTGCTGCTGCTGAGCTTGTCCCAAAGCTGCTCACCCATCACAATGGGTAATGTCCCAACCCCAGGTCCAGTTTGCATAGGCTGGAGCTGTGATTGTCTGTAGGCTCTAACAGCCTTGACAGCCTTTGTCCACCAGCCCGGAAGCCTGTGACACCAGCGGCAGCTGGCTCTGCCACCCTTTCTGCAGTCTTATTTGCCCATCTGTGGAAGTGCCCCCTAGGTTTTCTTTCCTTGCAGGTATGAATAAGAACACAGCCATTTGAGGTCCCTCGAGGGAAAGCTCTGTCTGAAAACAGGCGTGATTACTATTTCCATCACCTTTCTAATCCTGTAATCACACATTTGCAGCAGGGAGCCTGGGCAGGGAGAGGCCGCTTACACAAGCAGCGGGAAAGAGGGGGCTGTGTGTTGTATGCCAACCATGCTTATTGAAAACGTAGGTATGGCTGCCTTTCATGAGCTGCAAAATGAATAATGGATGTATTTATCCCCCAAACAGTTCACATTCAAACGACTCGGACCTGTGTTCACATTATGAAAGCTTTGTCGAAGACATATCACCCTTCCAGGTCAAGGGGATGCTGCCTGAACTCCCTCCCAGTCTTGCCTGGTGGATGGAAGGTGTGGAAGGGGAGGATAACTGAATTGCTGACCACCCATCCACAGAGATTCTCCCATGCGCCTCCCTTTGGCTCTTGTAACTTTGAATTTGGAAGCCTGCCTTCTTATCATGAATGGGAAAAACCCAAGAGATGTTTGAAAGCTATTGTTCAGGACAAATTCCTAGGGGCAGGAGAGATGGCTTAGTGGTTAGGAGCACATACTGCTCTTAAGGCTGACCAGAGTTTGATTCCTAGCACTTAATGTCCTGCAGCATTCAGGGACCTATAACTCCAGCTTCAGGGGATTCAACGCCCTCTTCTGGCCTCCATGGGCATCTGCACTCACATGTGCATATACACACATAATTGTTATTATTTTTTTAATCTAGAAGGAGTCTCTAACAGCTACAAGGTCAGTTTTTCTTTTGAGATCATGAGAGAATGAGGACAAATGAGGCTCAGCTTCAGAAAGGAAGAGGAATGTTGTTGCGGGTCATCTGCATGTGAAACGTTTAACCAGCAGCCTTTGTGGCAGAGCAGAGAAAGAGGCCTTGGTAACACAGCAGCCACCCAGGCTACTGTAAGAGGGTGCCCTGGCCAGAAGACATTCCTGACTCTTATTGTTAGATAGTTCCCAAGAGAGACCAGACTTTCCTTCCAAGGGATTGGTCTGCTTGTGCATAAGGATCTCTTCCCTTGTGTGAATGGAACTTTATCATTTGCTTTTGTTGTAACACAGACCGCCCCAGGAGTCAGCAGCATACAGAGAAAAATGTTTATTCAGCTTGCAGCTCTGTGGGTCACCTACGGCCAACTGAGCTTGGCCAGCCTCTGCACCATGTATCTCTCTTCCTCCTGTGCCGACCAGTGGTGATGGCTAAAACCCTGCTGTTGAGCAGAAACATGCAGTGCCTCTTAAAGCTAAGGCTCAGAACTGCTACACTGCCACACGGCCCCAAACAAAGCTAAGGAGTAGAGAGAAGTACACCATTCCATTATGGGAAGACATGAAAGTATGGGGTGGCCTCCTGAGGAGTCTAATTCTCTCCACTCCAGGCAGAGACTACAATGACCAACCAAAGCAACAGTTTAACCTAAGTCCAATACGGTAAACCAATGGGCTTATTGGCTTAGTTACAGAAACATGGTTGACCCCAGCAGCTACATCGCTGAAAATCCTGGGTTTTTACTCCAGCATGGGTAACAACTTAGGAATTCTGCACTCCTGACCTTCCTTGGGCAACTTGCAAGCAGTCACACAACCAAAGAGTCTCCTCCTGCCTAGAAACTTTGTTCACATTGTGACCAACCCTGGGACAGGGACCTCTAATCTCAGGGAGGAGGCCTGAAAGCCATGCAAGCGGCTTGAGCCTTATGAGTGTGTGAAGTTCCTTGTGAGGCTCATGTGCCTCCCCTGACCCCCTGGAGGGAATGCTTCATTTGAATAGAAACAGCCAGAGCAAGTGGCATATAGAGAGGGCAGGTGAGCACCGTGCTAATGACACAGCCCTCAGAACGCTGTCAAGATCATGCTCCCTTCCCCTGCAGCTTTACCAGAGAGCTTATAACCCCTCCTTGAGATGGAGGAAATGATACAGGGCCCTTCAAAAAAAGATTCAGTCATCCAGGGTAAGTTGACGACGTGACTGTGCCGCCTCTTTCCTGCAGTGATCAGCATGTGCCTCCACAAAGACCAGGAAGGCAGAATTTGCATTGAGCCAAATGATTCCCTCCGTTTTGTTGGTGCTTCGGTCCTCAAAAGCTGTAGTTTTTATGCCTGAAATTTCCCTGAGAAAATAAAGCCGCCAGAGGAACCCATGGCAAAGAACAAATAAATAGGAGACGCTACAACTTGGGGGTCATGTGACCCGCGTGACTGCTAAATGGGAAGCATGAAGCAGAGGGATGAGTAATGGCATGCCCAGCCTCAGCTCGACTCGAGAGCGGCACATAGAACTGAGATCTTGTGAATGATCCAGACGGAGATTTCACAGAATTTTGATAAAAGAGCGTGGCCTGGCCAGGCCCCTGGACACTTCAGGCTAACAGGTTCTAAACACAAGCTGTTGAATTCCATCAGTGGGCATGGCTGAGAACTGGGCTGTATCAGCAGCAGATCTGAAGGTTTCCAAAGATCTGCACATGCCCCATCCCACCCCATTCCCAACCCTGCAGTCCTCCCATCCCCCAAATTAAATAAACCCTTGATGCTCTTTCCCTTGCCATAAAGCATATCATTTCACAGGGTCTCATTTACTAGAGGTTACCAAAAGAAAGCTAAATTGGGATTTGTTCAGTTCCTGATGACTTGCCCCTATTACCCTAACTCATTTTCAGTGGCATTTCAATACTTTGGTAATGAATTAGCTCTACCATTTCTGGCACAAAGAGAAGAGGGTCTAAATTAATTTTCAGCAAGGGATACTATTGGTCCAGGCCACTTCCCTCCCACTGTGTTAGCATCAATGTCTTGTCTCGTTAAATGCCGATAAACAAGTGTAACACTCTAACAAGCCACAAATTGGCTTATTGACACCTCTGGCAGCTGCTCTCTCCTTCCCAAACCCCTGCTTTATAGGCATTCTGTGGCTACCCAAAATGGAGGCACTCATGGAACAAAGGAGGAGGAGACCACATAACCATCCTAGGCTCCCAAGCTGCTGATTCTTGTTCTATTTGATTTAAATCTAACAGTAGACTATTGAAATTCCTTGCCTCTGCTCTGGGCTCCATTTGAGGCCCAGGTATTAATGGCTTCCCTGCAGAGTGGGTGGGCTCACTCTGATCCCCCTTCCAGCAGCTTTCACAGAAATGGCTCCAATGACTATGACACTGGGTGGTCCTCTCTGTGTCAGCAAATCAGTAGCTCTTTAACTAGCCCACTTCGATTGCTCCAGAAATGTTGAGACACAGATGAGCAGGTCACTATGTAGTTTCACTTTGGGCAACCCACCCAAGAGGTCACAGGATGACCAAATGGCTGTTTCTATTAAGTGTAAGGCAAAGAGCTGACCTTACCCCTCCAGCAAGAAAACCATATTGGAAGATTTAAAAAAAAAAAACTGCTCAAGAGTAAAGATGCTTACAGCTGTAGCCAATGGCTGATGGATGCCCGAACACAGTCATAGCCACCAGGGATCTCCTGCCATAACCCTGTCTGAGAGCCTAGGAACAGAATAGAGAGCATACTGGCCACTTGGGACAGATTTAGGTATTTTCAGAGCAGGAGATGGAGGAGAGGACTAATTCTTTTCATGTGAGGTTTTCATAATTTTTCTGGTCTTCAAAATCACATGCTAGGTTTCAAGTTCACATTGTTATGAATTTATATAGGAAATTTCTGCTCTGTAATTCCCCCATGAGCATAGCTGTGTTATCAGTGATCAGTAGAATCAACAAAAGGAAAGGGATATGAAAACAACATTGCAGGATGTTGATCTCCAGGGTGATAGCTTCCCTGGCTCTGTCTAAGCCCACAGCATAGCTTGGAAGGGGCTTTGCACCATCCCAGTTCTTCTCTGGGCACAGAGAGCAAAGGAGTCAGGAAACAGCACTGAGTGTCTGTGACCAGGTGGGACATGCACGTGTGTCAGACGTTGGATGCTGAGGATGCTAGTATGGAGGTGAGAGGAGAGGAAAAGAGCTTGTGAAGGACAAAGTTTCAGACGTTAAGGTCACCTTGGTGGTGGCTTCTTCTGGCACTTTTCTTTGCAGGTTCATATACACATTTCCTGCCTCTCCTTTTACTTCTCGTGTGTGTGTGTGTGTGTGTGTGTGTGTGTGTGTGTGTGTGTGTGTGTGTGATTGCATGCGTGGAAACCAAGTTCTGTTAGGGCAGATACGTATAGTGGATGAGGGGATGTGTTTTGTTATTGCTACATTTGAATATAACCGATGTATAGTAACTGAACAGCTGAACACCACACCCTAAATCCCACTTGCCACCTGAAATCTCAGGCAGTGTGGTAGCATTGTCAAAGGACCCAAGAGAAGGCCCTCTCCTAGTTGCACCTTGATCCAGAATATTCTTCTCTCTTCATCTAACTGTAACTCATCTTTGAGGGGTCAATTTAGATACCACTTCTTCAGTCTGAGGGACTAAATTAAGCTCCTCTGGTAAACGCTGCTGCGGTTCTTGGTATTTCTTTTTGCAGCACTTTGCATGCTCACGACTTGATAATAAATCATTCATAGCTGTTGTTTAATGCCTATTTTCCCCATTAGACTGTGAATGTCAGCAGGCAGAGACTGCCTTGGATTTTGTTCTCATCTACACCACCGCCGCCACCACCCGCAACCCCAGCACGTGGCTGGGAACAGCAGAAAGGACATGGGATTTAAAATGTTCAAGGGAAGCTTAATGACACGGCAAGACCTCTACATAGTGTCACAGGCAGGCTGCCATCAAGAGTTATGGAATATGTAAATGAGAGATGGGTGTCATCCCAAGGAAAGACTAAAGGCAGAGTTGTGAGAGGTTGACAGAGTCTGGGTCTGATCCCCTTCCTCCTCTGAGCGGGCCGTTCCTTCCCATGAAAGTTCAGTTTGAGGGTCACATTCTCAAGGTGCCCTGACTCCGCTCACAATCAGGAGCTGAGGATTGTTTGACGAGTAGTTTGCTCATGCTCTTGGTCTTGCGTTTAAGTGTCATCTAGAGAAGTAATCACTCGCTTGAACGCCACACAAACTTCAAAAACCAAAAGAGAACTTTTAACCCTGCACTCTAGTTTTCCCTCATTTCACAGAGAGGAGCACTGAGGCCCGGATACTTGAGGACTTTCCCCAAGGGGCAGAAAGCACAGGTCAGAGGTTCACGTCTGGAAACTTGGTATCACTCTGTGCTCTTGATGTGGTGCCATCCCTACATTAGTCTCTTTTCCTCCTTAAATGAAAGTTCTATTTCTGAAAGAATGCTAAACATAATATTCAGATATCAAAGAGACTTCCTTAAAGAAAACTAAACTTTAAGTTGGATGTGTTGGTTGCCGTCTGTAATCTCATATACTCAGGAGGCCGAGGCAAGAGGCTCTGAAGTTCAAGGCTAGTCTGGACTACATAGAGAGTTTGAGGCCAGCCTGAGCAACTTAGTGATAGCTTATTTCAAAGTAAGACAAAAAAAAGGGGGAAGAAAGAAAAGTGGGTCAGGAGCTGGGGAGGTAGCTTTGTGTCGAAGCATCTACTTAGCTTGTTCGTGGTAGCCCTGGCTTCATCTAACATACACAATAAAAATCAAAAATAAACTTTGAAATGTCATCTTATGATTTATTATCTGTTTTTAATGATTTATTCATTTTTACTCCATGTACATTGGTGTTTTGCCTGCATGTATGTCTGTGCAAGGGGTGTTGGGTCCCCTGAAGGTAGAGTTATAGGCAGTTGTAAGCTGCCATGTGGGCACTGGGAATTGAACCTACGTCCTCTGGAAGAACAGCCAGTGCTCTTAAGCACTGAGTCATCTCTCTGGCCCCATGATTTATTATCTTTACTTCTTTTTTCCCCTTTATTTTTGTTCTTGTGTGTATGTATGTTTTGTCTCCACGTGTCTGTGTACCACACGCATGCAGTGTCCGAAGAAGCCAGAAGAGGGCACTGGATTCCCCTGGAACTGGTTACAGACGGTGGGGGAGCTGCTACATTTAGTGCTGGGACTTGAACCCAGTCCCTCTGGAAAAGCAGCCAGCGCTCCTAATCACCAAACCATCTCTCCAGCCCCATCTTTAACACTTAACTATGAGTTTGAAACTAACGTGACGTCTTCCTTTCACATGGGCCTGTGTAAAAGACTTTTCCTGCTTACCTCGTCTCACTTCTCAGCTTTGCTATTCAAAATCGAAATTCTGGGCTAGCGACAAAGCTCTTTTGGTAGAGTGCTTACCTAGCATGCATGAAGCTCTGAGTTCAATCCCCAGCACCACATAAAACTAGATGGTGGGTGGGAAGAAGCAGCACATGCCTGTCAACCCAGCACTTGAGGATGTCAGTGGATAAGAAATCCATAATTATCCTCAGCTATGTAGTAAGTTCGAGGTCAGCCTGGGCTAAAAAGCCCCTGCCACAAAATCAATTCAAATCAACCCACCTGAAATTAAGTTTCCAAGATGTCTATTGTCATTCACCAGTCAATGTTCTCCCAGTTTTTTGGAGGTGTGACTCTGTTATTTCTCCACTGCACCCCTCTTTCCTGATACTTCAGTTCCTCTGAAAATCATTGACTTCCCTTTTTTTACCCGTTTCTCTGACACTTTACTTCAAGGTTGTCTGAAATTTACCGTGACTGTGACTATAGCCAATACGTTTTATCAACTTTCTTCGAGCTGCACCTCAAACTTGAGTGTGAATACCAACCACATGGCTAACTTGTATTAACTAAGGAAGGCCTACAGAGGAAGACCCTCCATAATCAGACATTTACCCCTGTTCCTGGCTCTCCATTAATCCTCAGATTTCCCTGTCTATGACCCACTACAGCCTACCTTCTGTTTAATAAACCATGGTTAGAAAATATTTGAAAAGGAAGCTGCATCTGTTGTGAACCTGTACAGACTTTTCCTTGCCACTTTCTCCTGAACTGTACAGCATAGGAACTATTTACACAGTGTTTACATTGCAATAGGTACTAAAATAACCTAGATATAATATCTATGTCCCATTATATAAGAGCCTTGATCACCAGGTGATTCGGACACCATGGGGGTTCTTGGAAGCAATCCTCCAGGAATACTGAAGGATGAGTCTGTTCCTGCCTTCATCTTCTGATTCCTCCACACCAGCCCCTTTGCCATAGATAGGATGTTCGTGTGCCCCCTAAAAACTCATGTTGAAATGCAATCCTTAATGTGATGCTATTTGGAGGTAGAGGTTGGGGAGGTGGTAAGGTCATCAGGGCAGAGCCCTTGTGAATGGGATTAGTACCCTTACACACAAAGTCCCAGAAAGCATCTTCTGTCAAGACAGAGTCAAAAGATAACATCTCATATCAGAAAGTGGATCCTCAACCAGACACTGGGGCTGCTGAGGCTTTGATCTTGGATTTCCTGGTCTCTTGAACTATGTCAAAGGAATTTCTACTGCTATAAGCCTCTCAGGCTAGCCCAAATGGACTATGATACCATTCCTAACAGACCACACACCACCAGAGGTCCTTTCTATTGCCACCACACGGGCAGCTACCCCCTTCCAAGTCTCTGCTCAAATCACACTTTTTCCTGGGGGACTGACCCGTGGATATTTCAGTTAATATACTACTGGCTGGTCTTTCTTTCTTTCTTTCACCCACTGTACTGACCATCTTCTAGCAGTCCATGCAGCCTACCTATCTATTGTATTTATTATGCACTGCTGTATCAGTTACTTTTCTGTTGCTGTGGTAAAACACTATGACTAAGGCAACCCATAAAAGAAATTGTTTGATTGGTTTTGCAGTTTCAGGGGGTTAGAGACCATGATGTCAGCATGGCAGCAGGAACAGCTGAGAGCTCACATTTTGGTTGGCAAGAATGAAGCAGAGAGCACACTGGAGATGGCAGGAGGCTTTTGAAACCCATCCTCATAACATGCCTCCTTCAACAAGGCCGCATCTCCTAATCCTTCCCAAACAATTCCACCAACTGAGAACCAAGTTCTCAAACACATGAGTCTATGAAGGCCATTCTTACTCCAATGACCACAACAACTGTCTTTACCAGCAAGGATGTTAAATTAACTTTTAAGGTTAAGGACTAATTTTCCATGCTTTATTCTCAAGCACCTATGCCTGTTTCTGGCATAGAGTAATCACACACTTCAGAAATATCTATTGAACTGAACTGTTCAATTACTAAAGCCATCATAGTAGTGAGTAGCTAAAATGTTCTGAGTCCTACCTCTGTGCCAACTCCAAGTCTTGTAGATGCGCTAACTCCTTTAGCAGACATTAACTACTAAGCTATAAGCCTTTATTCCTTTTAGGTAGAAGTTCTCCTTTCTAGTTTTGGAAGCAACTGTCAGTCAGATGAAGCCTGTTTCTCTAAGTTCAGGGGGAGGAGGGGGCGCTAGAAGGAAAAGGGGAAGGAATGTGTGGTTTGAAATACAAGACTTGGGATACCAGCTCCTTTTGTTGCAAATTACAGAAGTTGCAATGTAAAATATTCTACTCTGCTAGTTTGAGCCACTATGGGAAGGGAAAAATAAACAGAGTAAGAAAGTGCTGCAGGCGGCTTGAATGGAAATGCAGTCCCTAAATGTTAACACTCGTACTCCAGAAAGACAGAAGCACAAAGGGCAGCAAGGGTTGACAAGAGACAGCCAAGCTTTCTTGTGATACTTGGAGATGAAAGAACATGGATGCTCACACTAGAACTTGACTTTCGAAATGCACGTGCAACTCAAGCTCCCCAAACTTCTCAAGTCCTCGGAAACAAGACCTCTCACTCCCAGGGTCCTCATTCAGAGAGTGGCTCCCACCTCTGCCTGGAAGTCTCGTCCCCTGCGGCCTCCATGCCCCTTCATGTTGTTGAAGACCCTCAAAGCCATTGGCTTCTTCCTTGGGGGTAGTGGGGTGCAAGAAGACCTCACAGACAAGAAATATGGTCAGACCTGTGCTGTTCAGAAAGGATAGTTGCTGATCCTGTCTTAGAGTCTTTCCCCACCGCTGTGATGCAAAACTCCCTGTATTAGTCGAGGTTCTCTAGAGGAACAGAACTAATAGAATGAGTACATACCCTCCACCCACCACCACACACATGCAAAACTGCCTCCTCCAGGCTTGATCCGGTGCAGTCTGTCAGGCCTGGGTCTATGTTTTAGACTGATTCTCAGCAGAAAACCTCTCCACTTCTTTATTTGATCAGGGCAGAAACCTCTAAGCTCCCCAGGCTAAAGAAGCCTGGCCCAGAGTGTCTCTCTCTCTCTCTCTCTCTCTCTCTCTCTCTCTCTCTCTCTCTCTCTCTCTCTCATCACCCTCCCCCTCCTCTCAATCTCCCTCCCTCTCTCTCTTTCCCCTCTCTCTTTATGTTGGTTTAGCAATGCATAAAGTAGCACAACTCATTTACATAAAGTGACTTCAAGAAGGAGGGGTGTGTGTGTGTGTGTGTGTGTGTGTGTGTGTGTGTGTGTGTTTAAGTTTGAGCATAACTGAATAAATGGTAGCACAAAAGTTGGTAAATCTGAAGCAGAACAGTGGCAAATTGGGGCCCTGTAAGACTGGACCCCCGGGGGCATCTTCAGTGTTCATCTACTACTCTACCCTTGTTTCTACACTCTAGGCACGCTGGATCCTGCATCTGTTCAGTCACATCAAGATTGCTATTTCCGGGGCTGGAGAGATGATTCAGTGGTTAAGAGCACTGATTGCTCTCCTAGAGGTCCTGAGTTCAATTCCCAGCAACCACATGGTGGCTCACAACCATCTATAATGAGATCTAGTGCCCTCCTCTGGACTGCAGGAACACATGCAGACAGAGCACTGTACACATAATAAATAAATAAATCTTAAAAAAAAGATTGTTATTTTCTCAGGCCCTTGGAAAAAACCACCCTCAATGGCTGGAAATCACTTGGCCCTTTATCTGCACACCTGAGTCCTTTTTTATCCTTCAAACACCAGCTGACATGGTACCATTTTGTATAAAGGACTTCTCAGGGCATCCACTCTAAAATAGATCCCTCATGTCCTTCGTTTTCTTATAACACTTATCCCAATATGTTATGGGAGTGATTTGTTTGTTTGCACACTTGGTATTTGCAGTTTAGTATAAACTACTTTGCATCATCTTTGCTTCATCACTCTGCTGTACGGCTTCGTGGTGAGGCTGGTACTCTATGACTTCACTGCCTTTCAGCACTGCCTTGTGACTTGCTTGGACCAGGATGTTAGTGTAAGTGGAATCTACTACATTTGACCCCAGGCTTTCAGACTTGCCTGGCTTCATGTGATTTCTTGATGCTGCTTCTCTCTGTTATGAGAAGAACCTCCTACATGGCTAGACTCTCCTTCC